ATACTGAGTGAAATAAGTCAATCACAAAAGGAGAAATATTGTATGAGACCTCTACTGTAAAAACTCATGAAAAAGTTTACACACAAAAAGAAACTATCTTTGTTGGATACGAGGGATGGAAGGGGTGGGGGGAATACCAAATAGACAATAGATAAGTGGTAACTTTGGTGAAGGGTAAGTCAGTACACAATACTGGGGAAGCCAGCACAACTCGTACAAGCAAAGGTCATGGAAGCTCCATAGACACATCCAAACTCCCTGAGGGACTGAATTGCTGGGCTGAGGGCTGTGGGGACCATGGTATCGGGGAACATCTAGCTCAACTGGCATAACACAGTTTATAAAGAAAATGCTCTACATTCTACCTTGGTGAGTAGCGTCTGGGGTCTTAAAAGCCTGTGAGCAGCCATCTAAGGTACTCTACTGGTCTCACCCCTCAGGAGCAAGGGAGAATGAAGAAAACAAGATACAAGGAAAAGATTAGTCCAAAGGACTAATAGACCACAACTACCACAGCCTCCACCAGACTGAGTCCAGTACAACTAGATGGTGCCCGGCTACCACCACTCACTGCTCTGACCGGGATCACAACAGAGGGTCCTGGACAGAGCTGGAAAAAATGTAGAACAAAATTCTATCTCACAAAAGAAGACCAGATTACTGGCGTGACAGAGACTGGAGAAACCCCGAGAGTATGGCCCCTGGACACCCTTTTAGCTCAGTAATATAGTCACTCCCGAGGTGCACCATGCAGTCAAAGATTAGACGGCCCCATAAAACAAAACGAGACTAATGGGGCACAACAGTCCAGGCACGAGGACTAGAAGGCAGGAGGGGACAGGAAAGCTGGTAATAGGGAACCCAAGGTTGAGAAGGGACAGTTGACATGTCGTGAGGTTGTTAACCATTGTCATAAAGCAATAGGTGTACTGTTTAATGAGAAACTATTTGTTCTGTAAAACTTCATCTAAAGTACAATAAAAAATGAGAATAAAAAATAAAGAAGCAACAGGAAAGCAGCAAGACCCTCACCCCCAACCCAAAAAAGGAGAGGGTCATGAAAATGAGGGAAACCCTCAATGAAATGGATTGACAACAATAAACTCAAACATATCAATGATCACGAAGGTGGCCCAGGAGTGAGCAACTTTTTGTTGTATTCTATATAAGGTTGCCATGAGTCAGAGTCAACTTGATAGCAACTAACAACAAATATATACACTATATATATGTCAGTTTGTCATACTTGGGGGCTTGCATGCTGCTGTAATGCTGGAAGCTATGCCACCAGTATTCAAATACCAGCAGGGTCACCCGTGGCAGACAGCTTTCAGCTGAGCTTCCAGACTAAGACAGACTAGGAAGAAGGATCTGGCGGTCTACTTCTGAAAAGAATTAGCCAGTGAAAACCTTATGAACAGCAGCACTGTCTGATATCGTGCCAGAAGATGAGCCCCTCCAGTTGGAAGGCACTCAAAATACAACTGGGGAGAGCTGCCTCCTCAAAGTAGAGTCAACTTTAATGACGTGGATGGCATCAAGCTTTCGGGACTTTCATTGGCTGATGTGGCACGATTCAAAATGATAATAATTGGAACATGGAATGTATAAAGTAGTAATCTAGAAAAACTGGAAATCATACAGTATGTCTTTTTGTGATTGACTTATTTCACTCAGCATAATGTCTTCAAGGTTCGTCAATGTTGTAGCATGTATCCAGACTTCATTTTATGTTCTGGTTTTGTAGTGTTCCATTGTACATATGTACCACACTTTGTTTATCCATTCATCCGTTGATGGATGTTTCAGTTGTTTCCACCTGTTGGCTATTGTGAGTAGTGCTGCAGTGAACACTGGTGTAAATGTGTCTGTTAGTGTCACTGCCCGCAATTCCCTTGGGTATATGGCTAGGAGTGGGATAGCTGGGTCATATGGCAGTTCTATTTTTACTTTTTGAGGAACCTCCACACTGGTTTCTATAATGGGTGTACCATTCTACAATCCCACCAGCAATAACGTTTCCAGTTTCCCCGCATCCTTGTCAACATTTGTTATTTTCTGATATTTCAGTTACCTTATCTTCCAGTTCCTTGACTCAGTCCTCTGTCCAACTGTTATTCAAACCTTCCATTGAGTTTTTCATTTCAGTTATTATCTCTTTCAATTTCATTATTTCTGTTTGTTTTCTTTTTATAGTTTGTCTGTTTATATTCTCATTTTGTTCATTGTGTTCCTAATTTGCTTTAGTTCTTTGTGTTTTTTAATTCTGTAAGCTTGCTTAATAGTATTGCATTGAATTCTTCCATTGTATTCATTAATCGTGCTTCCATAGATACAATATCTTTCCTTATCTATTTTTCGTTTGTGTAAGCCATCATTTCCATTTGCTTATTTCTGGAATCTTTTTGTTGACTACAGGGCATTAGTTTTTTGCTTGATGTTGGCTAGCTGACTATCTTGGCTCTCTCCAATAACTGTAAGGTCAGCACTGTTTACTTGGAGATCTTTAGGTGGGCAGCGTCTGCAGGCTTTATTTATTACTCCTCCCCCTACTCCTCTTGATTCTGGACCAGGTTACTTTTGTTTTGTTTTTACTTTGGGCTGCTCTATACCAAACCTGGGAGCTTGCGCTATGCAACCTGCCCACCAGATGGCACTGCACCCCTTCCTTCGTTTTCTCTTTTTCCTGCTTTATTGTACTTTATAAGACCGCTGGTGGCACAGTGGTTGAGAGCTCCGCTGCTAACCCAAAGGTCAGCGGTTTGAACCCACCAGCCGCTGGTTTTAACCCACTAGTGGGAAAAAGATGTAGCAGTTGTCTTCCCTAAAGAGTTACAGCTTTGGAAACCCAGTTCTACTCTGTTCTATAGTAGCAATTACGATGTGTATTGTACTTTATCACCTGTTGTGGGTATTCCCTTTACTGCGAATGGAGTCTGGCCTCTGAAGCCTTGAAAGGGAGGAGTGGCACTCCAGAGCGCCCCGCCAGTGCCTGTCCGGTGCCTGCCACCCGTCCCACAGCAGATGGGTGCTCCCTTCCTCCACCATGAGAAAGTTTCCCTCCCGTCCTCAGGGAAGTTACCAGCAGTTTGCTGCTGCCTCCACCAGTGTGCAAAGCCTGGAGCAGGGTGAGGTGTTCAGCAGACTCCACGTGGTGCAGCAGAAAGATATGCCCAGTTAAGCCCTGCTGGGCTTCTCTGCTCCCAAAACAGCCTGTGCGATCACTGGGGGCTCGAGTTTTGTCCCATCAGTCAGCTAGCCCCTCTAGATCTAAGTGGCCTCCATGCGCCCCTGGGAGGGAGGAGGTGCAGAACAGGAGATTTTTCCTACCTTTCTGTGTTTTCTTCCTTGGCTCTTTCTGTCTGCGAGTCTGCGCTGCCATCATCTGTTTGCCCTTGCAAATTTTTGCTGGATCTACTTGTTGGCGTAGAGTCGATTCCGACTCACTGCTGGATCTGGAAGAGGGCAATTGTGTTTCTTCGTGTATTTGTGGGAGGGTTCGGAACCCTAAACTTCTTATGCCACCATCTTCCCAGAACACTGGAACTCCATATGGTTTTCATGGCTCTGTCCTTTTGAAAGCAGATCACCAGGCCTTTCTTCTGAGGTGCCTCTGGGTGAGTTCAAACCACTCAGTTAGTAGACAAGCACTTAACTATTTTCGTTACCCAAGGGGTCTCTCTCTCTTTATATGTGTGTGTGTACATATGAATGCATATATGTGTGTGTGTATGCTGTATATTCTTCTATAAATATTACAACCAAGAAACCCTACGAAGCAGCTCCACTCTGTAATACATGAAGTCATGAGTCGGAATCAACTTGACAACAGCAGGTTTTACTTATTGGTTAAAGAAGTTCCCTTCCAGTCCTAGTTTTTTTAATGTTTTTATTAGGAATGGATGTTGGCTTTTGTTAATTTTTTTGTTTGTTGTTGTTGAGAACATAAACAGTAGAAAATACATCAATTATTTCTACAGCTAAAATTGAGTGATATTGAGTTCTTCAAGTTGTGCAACCATTCTCATCCTCCTTTTCCAAATCCTTCTTCCTCCATTAATATAAACTCACTGCCCCCTAAGCTTCCTATCTATTCTTTCGAGTTGTTGCTGTCAATTTGATCCGGTACAGATAGATCTTAAAAGAGCACAATGTTCGAGGCTGACATTCTCTATTAGTTAAGCTAAATTATTGTTTGGTTTAAAGAAGACTTCAGGGGATATTGTTGGTTTAAGGTTTAAAGATTATCTCAGGGCAATAGTTTCAGGGGTCCATCCAGCCTCAATGGCTCCATAAATTCTGTAGTCCATGAGAATTTGAAATCATGTCCTATATTTTCCCTCTCTTGATCAGGATTCTTCTATAGAAACTTTCATCAAAACATTAAGTAGTAGTACCCAGGCACCATCCAGATCTGGTCTTACAGCAAAGGAGGCCCATTGCTCATGGAGGCAACTAGCCACACCTTCCATTTTATCCTCCTATTCCTGACTCTCCTTCTTCCTCTCTTGCTCCAGGCAATTACAGACCACTTGTACCTTGAATGCCTGCTTGCAAGCTTTTAAGACCCCAGAAAGTACACGACAAACTAGGAGGTAAAACAGAAGCACTAAACACCATGTTACAACAAGGCCAATTAACTGGGATGTCCCACGAAACCATGACCCTAAACCTCTAAATCAAAAAACTAAATCCCATGAGGTGTCTGGCTGTACATAAGCAGCCTCAACAGCTGCTCTTTGTTGTTGTTGTTGTAGTAAATATATCCATCACACAGCATTTGCTAATTCAACTTGTTACAGGTGTACAACTTATTGGTATAAATTACATTAATTATCTGTGCAGCCTTTACCCTTAATCAATGTGATTTTTCCATCGCCATTAACCAGAACTCAGTGCTCCATAAGCAGTAACCCCTCATTCCCCCTCCCTCTCACCCCTGGTAACCACTAACATTCATGTCTATACATTTGCCTGTTCTTATCTTTTTATATAATTAGGATCCTACAAAGAACACAATTACCATATGACCCAGGAATCCCACTGCTAGGAATATACCCAAGGGACTTGAAAGCAGGGAAGTGATCAGTCACATGTACACCAGTATTCACTGCAGCATTATTCACAATAACCAAAAGGTGGAAACAACCTAAATGCTCATCAGCAGATGAATGGACAAACTAAATGCGGTAGGTACATACATACAGTGGAATACTACTCAGCCAGAAAGAGAAATGAAGTATTGATACATGCTGCAACATGGATGGAGCTTGAAGACAATATGCTGAGTGGAATGTGTCAATCACAAAAGGACAAATATTATTATTTTATTAATTTTTTGTATGTCTTGAGAAGATCCTATAGTTTTTAAATTTGTTAACATGGTAAATTATATTGATTGATTTTTAAAATTTTAAACCAATCTTGTTTTACTGGAATAAACTTTTCTTGGTTGTAATGTAGTAAACTGTTGTATATTTTTGGAATCAGTTCACTACAATTTTGTTTGGAATTTTTGAATGTATGTTCATTATGAATACTGGTCTGTAATTTTCTTTTTCTTGTAATGTCTTTGCCTGGTTTTGGTATCAGGGTAAGTCTGACTCCATAGAATGGGTTGAGACAATTTTGTACATGATTTTTACCATAAAAGTTTAGAAGAATTTACCAGTAAGCCATATGGGCTTGTATTTTATTTTTGGAAAAAAAAAAGGCTTAAACTGCAAATTCAATTTTTAAAACAGCTATAGGCTTTTTCAGGTTATGTATTTTTTCTTAAGTAAGCATTAGAAGATCATGTCTTTCAAGGAATTTGTCCATTTCACCGAAGTTTCCCAATTGATTATTATAAATTTCTTCAACATATCTCCTTATTATCCTTTTAATATCTGCAAAATATGTAGTGATGTCACCTCTGTTATATCAGATGTTGGTAATTTCTGTCATTTCTCTTTATTTCTTGACAAGTCTGTCTACAATTTTGTCAATTTTACTGATCTTCTCCAAGAACTATCTTTTGGTTTGATTGACTTTCTCTATTTTTTTTTTTTTTTTTGGTTTATCGATTTATATTCCAATCTTTATTATTCCCTTTCCTCTACTTACTTCGACTTTTATTTTATCTTTTTTTTCTACTTCCTTAAAGTGGAATCTGAGTTCAGTGATTTAAGACTTCAAGACTTCTTATTTTCTCTAGGGTCGCTATGAGTCGGAATCGACTCAACAGCAATGGGTTTAGTTTTTGCTTTTTTTTTTTTGTTTTCTAATATAATGTTCTAAGAGTCAGCCAAAGAAAAATACCTGACTAAAGGCTCAAATAAAAGTTTGGAACATGGCACTACAGACAGAAGCACCTTGCCGTCCCTTTGTAGCAAAGACCTGAAAAACTACGTAAAACAGACACAGACATCAATCTTGGAACCCTAAGCATCAAATGAAGGGATAAAGAACTAGATCAAAAACCGAATGGAAGAAGAAAGTGACAGAGAACAGAGAACGAAGAGAGTTATGGAGTGGAGGTCCCCTGTCAACTAATGTGGCACAGCGTCGCCATCTTGAGGCACAATGACCCCAGACAGGGAGTATGGGAAGGCAGCTTCACGGAGCTCCCAAAAGGAGACAGAGCACCCAGTGACCGGAGAAACACTTTCCAACCCCTCACCCTTCTGCCCTGTACACTGCCTCTGCCACTGTCCAACAGACCACAGTCATTCAGCTGGAGAGACGCCAGCTCATGGCTGAACCAGGTCCACCACACCCCCACCAGCCAGCTCCCTCAGCACCATTTATTTCTCTCTCTTTCCCTTTCTTCCTTTACTTTCTCCCTCCCACCTAGCCCCATATGCCGCCTCCACCCCGTCCAACTGGGCCATGCCTTGCTGCCTTGGCTAGAGAGCCACCAGCACATGGCCTCCTCAGGACTGCCATGCCCTCACCCGCTGGCTCCCACCATGCCACCATTCTTTTTCTTTTGTTTCTTATTTCTTTTCTTTTTCCCTCCCACTTAGCTCTGCACATCACATCATTCCCTTCCAACCAGCCCTTGAGTCTGTCCTGCCCCCACGTGCTGACTCCCACTGCGCTGCTAGTTTTTTTTTTTCCTTTTTCCTTCTCCCTCAGACCTAGCTCCGTATGGCACTTCCCTCCCCCAGCTTCTAGACCCCACAGAGCTGCTGCTGCAGAGGAGCCTCTGGCCCGCTGCTGCCCCAAGTCAGCCCCACCCCCACCACACTGCCACTTATTTTATTTTTTTCTTTTACTTTCTTTTCTTTCTACCTCCTACCTAGCCTCCTGTGCCACTTCTCCCCCTTTCCTGCCAGCCCCTAGGTCCACCCAGTCCCCCCTGCCAGCTACTTTTTAAAATCTTTTTCTCTCCTTTCTTTTCTCTCTCCCCCACTTAGCCCCGTATGTCACCCCCTCCCCCTTCCCAATGGCCCCTGATGAGCTGCCACAGCCAGAGCACCACTGATGCTCAGGCCAGCTGCCACATGAGGCCCACACTACCCATCCTTCCTGCCACTTAACCAGCTACTGAACGGTGGGAAGCAAGCCCACACCACTCCCATCCAGCACCCCCACCAATCTGGTGAGGGGCTAGGAAAGCCCCCGCACTCCTGGACCAATATCAGGAGAGAGACCGTACCTGTCCAGTGCGTCCTCTACCACCTTGCCAAACCAGTGTACAGAGAAGCAGGCTTGCCCTGTTTTTGTCCTGCCCACCTGGACAAGGTGGTAAGAACTATCATGCTCACAGATGAACAAGCAGCAAAACACACCTGCCCTCCTGTCTTAGTCATCTAGTGCTGCTATAACAGAATACCACAACTGGATGGCTTTAACAAAGATAAATTTATTCTCTCACAGTCTAGGAGGCTAGAAGTCCAAATTCAGGGTGCCAGCTCCAGGGGAAGGTCTTCTCTCTCTTTTGGCTCTGGGGGAAGGTCCTTGTCATCAATCTTCTCCAGTCGAGGAGCTTCTCAGTGCAGGGACCCTGGGTCTAAAGGACCCGCTATGCTCCAGCTCTTGTTTCTTGGTGGTTTGAGGTCCCCATCTCTCTCTGCTAGATTCTCTCTTTTATATCTTGAAAGAGATTGGCTTAAAATACAACCTAATCTTGTAGATTGAGTCCTGCCTCATTAACATAGTTTTCTCTAATCCTGCCTTATTAACATCATAGAGTTAGGATTTACAACACATAGGAAAATCACATCAGATGACAAAATGGTGAACAATCACACAACACTTGGAATCATGGCCTAGCCAAGTTGACAGATATTTTGGGGAGACACAATTCAATCTATGACACCTCCCAACCTGACATATCAAAGCAAAATAAAAAAGCAGGATGAAACAAATGAATATAACAATCAATAAAGAAAGAAAATAATGCCTTAATATCTCAGAGACAGCAGACAATATTAAAACATATAAAAAAGCAGGACAAGATGACACAGATTTTTCCATTCAAGTACATAAAGCCAAGGTTTATTCTGGCTTTCAAAGTACATCCTACGTAACAAAAACATGAAAGTACTCAATGCATCCTTCGAATGAGAAATACTACACAAATTCTTCCACTGAAGCACATGAATTCAACAAGTTTTCAAGTTCTTAAGGTACATCGTGTATAACAAGGACATGAAAATTCCCCATACATTCTTTGAATGATAAAACACTATACTGATTCTCCCATTCAAGCAAATGAAGTCAGTATAAGTTTTCAAAGCACATCTTGTATTGCAAAGATGGAAAAATTTCCAGTACATTCTTTGAGAAAACACTACACACATTCTCCCATGCAAGTATTAAAGGCAAGAATGTCATCTTGGTTTTCAAAGTATATCACGTGTAACAAGCACGGGAAAATTGCCAACCCATGCTTTGAGAAAATTCTTTGTACAGATTTTCCCATTCAAGTAAATGAAATCAAGAGAGTCATTCTGGTTTTCAAAGCACACGGCGTGTAACAGGAACGGGAAACTTCTCTATACATTCATTGGGAAAACTGCACAGAAATTTCAAGTACATAAAGTTAAGTGAGTAATCCTGATTTTCTAACTACATCCTGTGTAACAAAAACATGAAAGTACCCAACACATTCTTTGAATGAGAAAACACTACACAGTTTCTCCCATCGGAACACATGAATTCAACAGAGTTTTCTAGTTTTTCAAAGTACCTCATGTGTCTTAGTTATCCAGTTCTGCTATAACAGAAATACCACAAGTGGATGGCTTTAACAAGCAGAAGTTTATTCACTCACAGATTAGGAAGTTAGAAGTCCGTATTCAGGGTATCAGCTCCACAGAAAGGCTTTCTCTCTCTGTTGGCCCTGGGGGAAGGTTCTTGTCATCAATCCTCCCTTGGGTGGTTCTAGGAGTTTCTCAGTGCAGGAACCCCAGGTCCAAAGGACACGCTTCCCTCCTGGTTCTTCGTTCTTAGTGGCAGTAGGTCCCTCTGTCTCTCTGCTCGCTTCTCTCTTTTATATCTCAAGAGATTGACTCATGATACAACCTAATCCTGTAGATTGACTCCTGATACAACCTAATCCTGTAGATTGACTCCTGCCTCATTAATATAACTGCCTCTAATCCTGCTTCATTAACATCATAGAGGTTGGGATTTACAACAATAGGATAATCACATCAGATCACAAAATGGTGGACAACCACAAAATACTGGGAATCATGGCCTAGCCAAGCAGACCCACATTTGGCAGGGGGGACACAATTTAATCCATAACATCATGTATAACAAAGACTGAAATTTCCCCATACCTTCTTTAAATGAGAAAATATTTTACTTATTCTCCCACTGAAGTAAATGAAATCAATACAGCTTTCCTTGTATTGCAAATATGTGAAAGTTCCCAATATATTCTTTGACACAACACTACACAGATTGTCATGTGCAACCACATGAAGTTAAGAAACTTACCCTAGTTTGCCAAGTATATCATGTCTCACTATGACAGGAAAGTTACCAATACATTCTTTGACTGAGAAAATACTATGCAGATTCTCCCATTCAACTACTGTAATGAAGACAGTTATAATTTTTAATAGACATCGTGTGTAGAAAGGATGGGAAATTTCCCAACCCATTCTGTGACTGAGAAAACTCTTTAAATAGAATTTCTTTTTCAAGTACATGAAGTAAAGAGGACACAAAAACACCCAACTCTTCCTTTGAATGAGAAATAGAACACAGATTT